CAAAGGCCCATTGGCTGCTTGAGTACATTAAATGGCTCTTTATTGGTACCTATTGTATGTCCAGCCAACCTGAAAGCTGGAAATAGATGACTGGGGCACAGGCCTGGTCTCTAGGGCTCACAGTCTCCCAGGGGGTCCATTTCATCATGTATCCATGGGTTTGTGACAACGGAGGGACAAGAGCCAAGAAAAAGTACGAAGAAAGGGCAGTAAATGCCACCTGGGGTCATGTGGACTTCACAGAATCACTGGCCTCAGAGAGCTGAGTTGGTGGTATTTTTTAAAATAATATATATTTTTTTCCTAATCATTGTGAACAAAGAGCATGCGTTATCTTACCTGGAAAATATGGGAAGGAGAAGGAAGGATTTTATAAATGCTTTAGAGCTGGGAGCAAGGATGTACAGCAATAATCCCAGCTACCTCACAAGCTGAATCAAGAGGATCACAAGTTCAAGCCACCCTAGGCAATTTAGTGAGACCTGTCTTAAAATAAAAAAGGCCCAAGTGACACATCCTCCACCAGCAAATACACAAAAGTATAAAGCCCCACACACACACGAACACACCGCACTGTACTGTAAGTTGACAGTGATAATTTGTTAAGTAAAATTCCTAGGATATGATCACTGTGTTAATTTATATAAACACTTGAGTGGCTCTTAAATTTTTGTCAAATTGCATTTTTAAAAGTCTACAGCAATCCTGCCACCACTTAACTGTCGCTATTGTCTTATACTTTTGGTAGTATAGTACAGCCTGGGTAACCTACCAATTCACGCACTTTGTTAGGTACCCTATCAGGTTGAAAATATCTTTAACATGCAATTAATTGCCAAAGCAATCTAAGATTTGCTATAAGCTCAGATTCCTGGGGTTTTTCTGTTAGGAAATAAATGAATCAGAAATAAAAACAATGATATACCAACTATTTGTTATAATACCCTCAATAAGAGTGAACAAATATAAAGTGTTTGATAGAGAGGAGGTGGAAAAAAATTATATACAAGGCAAAAATTTCATAAAATTTTATTTGTTATTTTGAGACAGGGTCTAACTATGTTGCCAAGACTGATCTCAAACTCTTGGGCTCAAACCATCCTCCTGTCTCAGGCTTCTGAGTGCTGGGACTATAGGAATATGGCAATGTTCTTGGCTTTGATGGAATGAATATGCATCCATTAAAATCATAGTTATGACATTTGCATCGGCATCTACAGAAATGTTTATAATTTTAAGTAAAGTGATGTTCCACATCTGTTACGGTAGAGTGAAAATGCATCTGCCTGCAGACACAGAGAAGGTGGAAGGTCAGTCAGCAGAGTCACTCGGCTTTTGAGGGAGAACAGGGTGTGAGGCACACTCTCTACTAATGTTCCCCTTACATTTGAAAATAAATAGTAACAAGGAAGGATAAAGACCCAGACCTACCAGGTAGAACATACCAACTGTCCCGGGAGGCTCTGCAAGAGGCCAGAGCCTCCAGCCAGTTAGGAGTTTCCCGCTGGCCTGGCCCAGGCTCACCTCCCAGTGGGAATCCCAGCAGCCCAAATCTTGATTCCAAACTTAGGTCATCCCGAGCTTCCTCATTCCCTCCCTGCTGCATTGTCCTGCCAGTGCTCTCCAAAGCCTTCCATTCTGTGAAGCTCACTGACTGTTGACCCGGGTCAGGCCACCATTTCACCATTTCTTGACCCACCTTCATGAATGTGGATCAAATCCAACGCACAGCCCCTTAGGATGGATGGGCCTCAGTGGGGCAGAGTCCCCTGCCCTCTCCAATGCTCACCACTATCCACACTCACAAGGACATACTCAGGAGGGCTGGGCAAAGGCCCTGGGGCTGCTGAGCAGTGGAGGTGACTTTTACACAAATCAGACACAGAGACAGATGTTCCATTACCTTTCACTTCTTCTCCTATTTTCTCTTTATATCAGTCCCTCTTCTCTGAATGTTTGCTTTTCATTGTTAGCCACTGTCAACACTGTGAATCTTGTCAAGAATATCCACTCTGTATACGCTGCCAGCCCATGAGGTACCCAGTAGCTGTCTCTGTCACCAGATCAACTGTCATAGTATCACAGTGCTTAGGATCAAGGAACCCTTATATACTTAATAATGCACTGTAGCCGTGGGGGGGGGGGGCATAAAACATGGCAGGAGAGACTGATTCTGGTATTGCGTGGCAGTGCTGGAGGGCATATAGAGAAAAAAAGAATATACAGGATGTGGGTTGGTGCTTTCTGTAGTTTTAAGCATTTGCTGGACATTTGAACCATATCCCCAAAGATAAGAGAGCATGGGGGACTCTGTGTGTGTGTGTGTGTAAACATTTTATTGAAAGGGAATATATATATGTATCTATAAATACATACATATACTGAAAGTTTGCATTTTTCCCCAAGGTGATATATCCATGTACCTGGCTTCTGATTCAAATAGTAGCAAAAGGTTCAGAATTAAAAGCAGCTGCCCCTGTATCACCTTTTTCTTCCTGCTACAATTTCCTATGCATATTTTGAAATCACACATGTTTACCACAGAAAATCAGAAAGCACAGTCAAGCAAAAGAAAACCAAGTAAAACATATCAAGTCCAACTTCTCATTTGAGAATGTCTTCTTTCAGGTAATGTAGCCACATAGTTTTTTCCCAAATATGTCCTTACTGTATTTTTCCCTATGCATTATAGCTCTAATTATAGATGTTTGTGGTATAGTGAGTTGTCCTTGCTACCCCAACTGTGGTCCACAGACCTGCAGCTGGAGCCCCAGCCATGCAAAGCTAACATGCAGTGTCTTTGCCCTTCCCTGACCCACATTTTGCAATGAGTGTGGTGATTGGATCGCCCAGTAACGCTGCTAAGGGTCTTGTAGATCAAAGCTATTCAAAGTCACAACCCATGAACTGTTTGTTACAGTCCTGGCCAAGAGGTTTGAGCCAGTGTAAACAGCACGCCACTTCCTTTATAGGGAAAGACTTGCTGCAAAATTCTGTCAGCTGAACTAAACAATGTGATTGATGAGATGGATAATTTACATTCTGGCCCAAGCTGCTTATCTTGTCAGGGACCAGGGACGTGCAGTTTGCAGGCTTGGCATCCTTGGCCAGACACACTTGGAGCAGCTTAGATCACACAGTTGGGAAGTGGGGGCTGGGACTGAGCAGCTCTGGCTTTAGCTCCTGGCCTTTTCCACCTAATCATGATGTGCAGGCACATGTATGCACACAAACGGACACACAGTTGTATACACACACACACACACACACACACACGCACACGCACACACACTAGGAAAGCCTGATCCAGCGATGGCAATTAGCAGTCACTTGCATCTGACCTACAAGGAGGCTCCCATGGCCCCATGTTTCCATACAAGGCCTCTGTTTACATCCAAAGCATTTCCCACCAGGATAGGGATCTGTGTATCAACTCCTCCTGTCAGGGCCAAGCTTGCAGGGCCTCTGGAGTCAAGAGAGGCAAAGCCCAAAAGCTGATGGACCTGGAAGGAGACAAAGAACAATTGCTTTGCTCAGTTCAAGTTCTGAAGGCAAAAATGTGCTCTCAGGTCCCAGGGTCCATGTTTATCCAGAATCCACAAACTCCAGGCCCAGCCTGTGGTGGCAGGTAGGTGAGTAACTCTTCGGCCACTGGGAAAGTGTGGACTGAGAGTCAGAGCTGGCCTCAGCTAAAACACTCTGTGACATTCAGTCCAACTTCAGTGTCACCTTCCCCAGGGAACTCAGGGTGTTCCATAGATCTAGACTCTGAGTTGTTTGTACTGGATGGTGAAAAGACTCAGACCCTTCATGCAGCACAATTTAGTTTACATTTTTTGAGTTTTCAGGGCACTCTTCTCTGGCTGCATGACCTTAGAGAAGTTACTACATCTCTCTGAGTGTCAGTTTCTTCATGTATAAAATGGAACATGCTAATGATGACCTCACAGGAGTACAGTGAGGCAGGACCAGTGGCTATGTCTGTAAAGCGCCTAGCACCAGCTAATGCACTCTTTCACTTGTTCATTCATTCCTTCTCTCACTCATTTACTCCTTGTGTCTGTACTGAGCACTCTCCCGGTGCTGGTAGTGGGAGTTCAGAGACGCACTGGAGCTCACAGTCCAGCAGGAAAGAGGGGAACAGTTAAAGAGCCACACAGACACCAAGCAAGCTGCTTGCTCTTGCAGGTGCTGCAAAGTAAAGTACCAGAAGTGGGCTGAGGGTGGAGCTCAGCAATGTGTAGCATGCATGTGATGCTGGGTTCGATCCCCGGCACCACAGAAACAACCAAAGCAACCAAAAACAGTGCAAAACTCCTGGACCTGGGGCCATCTAACCTAAGGGTGGAAAACATTTCATCAAAAAAATAAATTTGAGCTGAGACCCCAAATATGGGTAGCTTATGAGAAAAAGCAGGGAAAGACATTCCAGAGACACCTCGAGGATTGCACATCCTATGTTCCAGAACATAAGTTTGGCCGGAGAGTGGGAGTTGGGTTTATTTTACTTCTCAAAGTAAAACTGATATACAGCAAAAACACCTCATTAGATGTGTTTTGACATGTAACCGACATCAGTATCAGTGTATAGAACATTGCTATCAGGCTGGGTCTGTCTCAGTAACTTTTCTTACTTCTTACAGAAGTTAGGAGCTGAGTTCTAGGGGACGTTTCAGTGTGACATTCAGGGCTAACTAAGGGTTTGGCTGGGTTTAAGTTCAGACTTGATCACTTTCTACCCAGGTCTCCTTATTCCTCAAGACTTAATTTCCTCACCTGTAAAACAGAGATAATTAAGCTGGTTTCTCTGGGATGTTTAAGAGAGTGAACCTACAAGTGACTGGAAAACACCAGGTGTTTCAGGGAGGTCAGTCATCTTTGGACTTTCCAGAATGGGAGGTGGCAGGGAGAGAGGTTTGCTTTTGTTGATGGCCTTGAGGTGGGGTTGGGCCTTCCCTGGGGTAGTAGGGCGCACCTTGATGCCTTCTCTCTGTCCACAGGGATGTGTTTGCAGGCCTTCGTGGAAGCCTTCTTTTTCCTGGCCCAGAGGAAGTTCAAGATGCTGCCACTTCACGAGCAGGTGGCCTCGCTGATCGACCTATGCGAATACCACCTGTCCCTGTTGGACGAAAAGCGCCTGGTGTGCAGGCAGAGCGGCATAGTGGGGGGCCGGTCCCTCCACTCCATCCCCCACCAGGACGCCTGTTCCCCGTCCCAAGCGAACGGTGCTGAGAAGTTCTCCCACCCCAGACCTACTCTCTCCTGAAGGCCACTCTGTCCTCCCAGAAGATGGTGCCCTTCAGGGCTGGGGACAGTGCTGGGCTTCTACCTGTGGAGGGACAGCAGGCACGCTGCCAGGACCCTGTCTGTGATTCCTGTCCATTGCCTCTGTGCTCTGCTGAGCTCCCACTTCACAAGGCTGATTCTCACCGCCTCCTTCCCAGCACCTCTTAGTGACCTACCCTATTTGCAGTCATCAGTGGACATATGACATCTGAAATGTGACAGACGGCACCTTCTATTCTGAGCACCAACTAGGGCAAACCTCCTGGTGGGGAGGCACAAACAATCCCCAAACCGAGTGCCTTGGAGAGGAAGCTGAGCCCCAGATCTGCTGGGGCCTCTGAGAGCTGCTGGTTAAATTCCACCGTTGTCATGTTCATTTTCTTCCCCAACAAAATGAAGTGGAAAAGAAATATCAAATAGGCAGGTGTAAACCCCCCCCCAACCCAATTATGTGCTACACTGGTATAGGTAACAGGTTAGTCTCATTTATTTCATTAGCTCACCTGTTGCTGCAATGTTTGGTTTGTTACTAATTAAGATATAATTAAGATATAACTAAATTAGATTCCTACAGCCTGAGAGCTGTCAGGAGCCACAGAGGTCATTTTGTTAGACCTTGACCCCAAAGCAAGAATCGTGCCATTAACTTATTTATGGTCCAGGTGGTCCTGCAGCTCTGAGTGGACCCCTGCAAATGGTCAAGGGTCCCTGTGTGCTGAGTACCATGTTGGGAGCCCTGGGGAAGGGGAGATGGTTTTGGAGAGGATTTGAAGGCCAGATAAAAACCAGGGCAAGCAGAAGTGCATGTTGAAAGTACAGTGGCCCGGCCAGAACAATTGGTGCTCCCCAGGGGTCCTCTGTGAGAAGCAGAGCATGAAGACTCCAAACCTGCTCTTCCTGCCTCATGAACAGAACACAAGGACTTCACCATGAAAGGCCCCAGGGGACATGCCAGGAGGTTTGCCACTAGCCTGGAACTGCAGTCTTTTCTCCCTGGATACTGCTTTTTGAAGTGTCTCCACAGAAAGTGCTCACTTGCCACAGGGAACAGTCTCCAGGGCAAACCCCAACCAAGCACACTGAACTGGGGAGGGGGAGGATCCAGAGGCTGAATTCCAACCACATTTTTGGAGTGATATAAAAATGTTACCACACATGGCAAGCAATGTCCTCTCCACCGTGCCCGTCATCCAGAGGCAGGTCATTATCAGTTATGGGGCCCTCTGTCCTGGAAGTAACCCCCTTTCCTGTGGACAGGGATCTGGGAGAGCCCCACACCCTAAGGGACACAGCCTCTGCAGTGACTGTCAGAGATATGAGGCTGCCATCTCAGGAGAGGCCCCTCCGTGACAAATTGGGTCCCTTTTCCCCAGTACTGCTGGTCAGATCATTAAGAGACTCCTTCCATCTCCTCAGTTCCCCCGGGTAGTCCCATGTGTCTGTCCCCCTTGATAACCAGTCACTTATTTGCAGGGTGGTACTGAATAAAGAGCAAAAGCAGATGAGTCCTTTTCCCTGGCAGAGGGGAGACAGAGCCAGGGAGACCGGGCTGGCTCAGAGGCCATTCCGTATTAGAACTCAGAGTCTCCTGTGCTTGGCTGTGACATGAGTCCATCTCTTTGAAGATCCCTCAGGACCCATCCCAGCTTCTTCTCTCCTCCACCTTTGCCTGCCCTTCATCCCCTTGCTGCTGATGCCATGCAGTGGCCTACAGATGCCCTTGAGGACCACGCATTCTAGGATTTGCCCAGCCAGTTCTCCAGGATCCCAGCCTGGTTCACTCACTCTCCAAGCACAGCGGCCATCCCATGATGCCCCGTACCCCACCCCAGTGACACTGAGAATCTCTCCCTGGCCAAATTGCAGGGGCCCCAGCACAGGTCTCAACTGTGTCCCCTAGGGGACCCACTCTCTTTCATCCCTTAGAGACTGAGGAGGACCCCCTCCCCAGGCTGATGGTTCTCACACTGCTCCTCAGTGAAGCACACAGCCTGTCCCTCACGCTCTACACTAGCTGTGCCTCTGTCCAGTGCCTCACTCAGAGAAGATTGTGCACTGTGGCTATGGATAGCCAGGGAGTGGCACTGGTTGAGGCTGGAAAGGAACTGACATTCCCAAAATGAATTCTCTTCCTACATGAATTTTAAAACCCATGTTCAGTGCTTCACAGTTTACAAAGGACTTTTAAGTCTATCTTCTCATCTTGATCCCCCCAGCCACCCACTGAAGGCTGAAGGTGATCATCAGCATCTTTTCCAGTGCCCAAGGAGGTTACCCAGCTTGCCCTAGGTGTCCTGGCTTGGTGAAGGGCAGAGCCCCTGGCTCCAGAGCCCTGTCCTCTTTCCTCTGCACCATCGTGGATCGTGGCCCCATTCTACAGACACGGGTCCTGGGAGCTGCTCTTCTGCCATGAGCAACCCACGAAGGCTCTGCAGGCCATGTAGAACTGTAAGGGTGCCAGTCCTCAACTACACAAATGGGGTGATCTCTTCCCTCAATCTTAGGAACATTAGGCAAGACCGTGGGAAGCATAATAAATGTGCGTGCGTTTCGTAAACCAAAGTGCTGCTGAGCCGCAGTGATACCTTCGGAGGAGAGTCTGGTGTCCCACAAAATGTAAAGGGACAAAGGTGAAACCCTCCTGAATATTATTGTCGGCCAAGACTAATGAAACCAAAGTGCACAGCTCCCTCCTTTCTCCCTCTTTTTCAGCCTCACTTATTTAAAGCCATTCATGGGCTGAGAAATGGTCCCTGCCTGTTCTGATGTCTGGAGTTTGCCTTGTGGTTGGCAGTGTTACTCCAAAATAGCTTGAGTTTTTTTTTCTCTTTCATTTCTTGATTAATGTCCTGTGCTCCTCGGCCCTATAGTTGAAAACATTCAGCATTTTAGCACTTTCTCCGGAAGCTCAGAAATGACAGACTCTCCCATCCGGGAGCTGAGGAAGCTGTCCCTGCTCAGGAAGGGGACTCGCCACAGTGCGTCCTAACCTAAAGTCCACTTTGCCTCCTTGATACTTTTGCCAGTCGCCTATTTGGTTTGATGAAGGCAAGAGTTTTCCTACATGGCATATGAATTTCTCCCTCACAATGTAAGCCCAGTTTTTTTGTTATGTTTGTTTGTTTTTCTATTCCGGGACACACAGGAACTCTTCAGAATATTCAACATATTCCATTGCATTCATCTCTTAGAACCCAAAGTCTTGATCTTTGTATAACTTAGGAAAACCACGCGGCACAATGCATATACTCACTGAACGCCACTGAGCACTGGTACGAGATGGTAAAATCATTGATGTTTTCCTCACTTCTGGCAATTTGCTTCTGAGTCTGATTCAGAGAGTGGAAGAAGAAGGTCTCTTTGCAGCCCCATAGCATAGCCTGCTCAGCAGGAGGCTCCTGGGAAACTCTGCCTCCAACTTGAAGGAAGGCCTTGGCTGAGGTTCCACCCAGGACTGGGCTATAGGACCTGCTCCTCACCGGAGCTCCCTCAAGCCTGGCCCAGGCTGCCTTGATCTTTTCCTTTCCAAATCTCTTATATCAGAAAGGGGAATCCCAGAGAAGCAATCCTAGGAAGACCCAGGGCTTCAAAATCAGACCTGAGTCTAGATTGTGCTCTAAGTGACCATGGACCAGTGATTTTTCTCTGACCCCTAGTCCTGACCTGCGATGTGGAAATGGTCACAGTGGATGCAAAAAGCCTGGCATAGCCAGGACTTGGCACCTGGGAGGTGTCGTCATCAATGTCTATTGAGACAAGGCACAGTCTTCGTATGCTGAAACTGTCAGATGCCAAGGAACACTGCTGTCACTTCATCGACTGTGGCACAGGCTCCGGGAGGTCTGGTAAGACCCCCATGTGCCCCAGCCTTCCTCCCTCTGTGCCCAGCACTGCCTTTAAGAAGCTTCAGCTCCTGCCTCTTAAAAGCCTTTAAAAAGTCTTTATTAAATTTTCATGGCGCATGAAGTCAGGGTTCTGTTACTTGGCCTCAGTTGTCTTGGTAACTTCTTAAAATGCAATAATGAAACAAAGCTAAGCATTGCCAAGCACAGGCTCCCTGAGTAACGGGTTGCTGAGTATTGACAGTTCCTTTGGCGTGATAATTTTTGACAGCAAATCCACGCAGTGGGCAGTGCTCCTTCATTTTGGGTCAATTGGTAGGAAAAGGGTGCCTTTTAATTTTTTTCTCTTTGCAGTTAATGTCTGCTTAGGAAGCCAATTATTGCCTCCAAGAAACTCTGAGATCCTCAGGGAGGGAGAGGGAGGAGTTTGGGGAATCCTCCAACCGGGGGACTGTCTATCCTAGGAAGGAGGCCCTGTCCCTAGAGTTCAGCCACCTGGCAGAGACTGGACCAGGGACACCTGCTGTGGGAGAAGGTACAACCCCGTGGCCCAGCACCAGCCCTCACCTTGTACATGGAGCAGGTATGCGGGGCAAGTCTCAGCCTCTGCTGGGGAGCTCGAGGCAGGCTGGACCCTGGAGAACTGCTGAAGCCACACCAAAGAAGTCATTCCTGGTGCTGCTGGTGCGCCTGGTCCTGTTGTCTCTGACCCTGAAAACGGAGGCCCTCACCACCTCCTAGTACCGCCTCCCTCAAGACCCCAGGGGAGCAGCATATGTTCGCTCTGAATATTTCCCAGACTCCCGACCACCCGGCAGAAAGTGGAAAACAGATGGCCTTGAGTTAAAAATAAAGCAAGCCCCCAGCTTGCTGGAAATCTCCCTCCCCCCTCCCTGAGAGACACGGAGAAGCATTTGTTTTGCTCGGCCCCTCCGCTGAGAGAAAAGCCACTTAGGCAGGCTGTGACCCCGGGCACTGCACTCTCAAGATTGCTATTTGACAAAATGGTCAGATTTTAGGCCTGCTTCGTGATCCCAGTGTGTGCCAGTCTCTTGGTCCTAGGCTCCTGTGTTACAAATCATGGTCTTGCAGTGTGACCGAGTTGTCACCACACCCAGGTACACCCACCAGATGCCCAAAGCCAAATGAGGAGGCGGCTATGTGGCAGCCAATGAGGTTACCCCTGCCTTGGCCCTCTGCCTCCAGCCAGGCCAATGGTGGGTGGGGGGAGTTGAAGGGCACTGCGGACTCCAGAGGAGGGGTTCCACCCTCCCTTTCCCCCAGGATCCCTGGGCGTTTGATGGTGGCCCCTCAGAACTCAGGCCTACCTCTGTCTTTAACTCAAGTCACTGCAGCTTTATCTCCCATGCAAGGAGCTTTGTTACAATGCTGTATCCATGGACACTGCAGTCCAACCTTTCAATTCTATGAACGAGCCAAGGCAGGCTCAGGAGGAGATGTCTTTCCTCTTTACCCAGTGAGTTAGGGGCATGAATTAAACTTCTGCATTGAGGTCTATTTTGCTTTGGTTGATCAAAGAAATAGAGCAGAAGCCAGCAGCATCCCATGGCTATATGTAGTATACACCATGAAAAGAGCCAGAGAGCTCTAGTGAGCACAGCAGTCCACAGCTGGAGTCAGAGAACCCCACAGCTCAACTGCTATCTTTTTTGTACATTTCGGGTTGCAAGTAAGGTCATCCTTGTTCTTCCAACTTTTAACCGTGGGGTAAATCCCAGTATATTTTACATTCCAGCCACTGTACAGAGCTGGAAGTGGTAGGAGAAGTAACTCATCCAACATATAAATACAACAGCATTTTCACCTAGCCACCTGAGCCTGGCTGTGACCCCTGGCACTGCCCCAGCCACGGTGACACCTGGAGGACATGAGTATATGCTGACCATGGCATGCAATGGACTACAGGGTTGGTCCACTCTCTGGGGTTCAAGGAAAGAGCTATGTTGCTATCTTAGTCTACTGGGGCTGCATCATAAATCAGGAAGGCTTATAAACAATAGAAATTTATTTCTCCCTGTTCTGAAGGCTGCGTGTCCAAGGTTGGGTTGCCAGCATTGCTGGCGAAGGTTCTCTTCTAGGTTGTACAGTACCATCCTTTCTTTGTGTCCTTACCTGGCAGAAAGAAGGTGAGAGAACTCCATAGCTTCCCTTTTATAAGGACACTAATCTCATTTGTGAGGGCTCCACCTTCATGCCCTAGTTATCTCGCAAATCTCCTGATAACATCTTATTGAGAGCGAAGATCTCATCAAATGAATTTGGGGAGGATACAGCATTCAGTTCACTGCAGCTAGCTCCTCCCAAACCCTGGTAGCGCTGTGTTGAGGACCCTTAGAGCCAGCTGAGCTCTCTCATGGCTGTAATCAGCTGACTCTTGTTGCCTGAGGCCTGATGTGGTGCAGCATTCCAGTCAATAACTCCTCTCTGGACACTGAAACACATCTGCGTTGAGCCATTCTATAGCAGCCATTGGCCTTAGGGGTCTAGTGGTTTTATCACTAGCAGTGCTTGGAAACTCAGCCTCATGTGGACAGGTCAGAAATCTGAGCATGCAGCCCAAGGAGGCCAGCTGAAGGGCCTATTTAGGTGAAATCCCCTATTTTAGCTTTAAAAGTCCTATAAAAACTGAAATAACAA